CTTTTAATCCCTGTTTTAAGGGAGTAAAGTGGGTCTTTTAATCCCCGGGATTAAATTTCACTTTATTTTCTGGGGATTAAATTTTTACTTTATTTCCCGGGGAATAAAAGTACCCTTTTATTCTCTGTTTTATTTAATCCCCGGGAAATAAAGTAAAGTGCATGAAATAGTGTATACACCTCAGGACTAAAGTGTTTTTTCAATTTTCATCCCTCGACAAATTATAGCCCTCCCTTCGGTCGGGCTATAAACTTTTTGTCTCGGGATTAAAAGTTCCACTTTAGTCCCTAGGTGTTAATGTACTATTTTACCTATACATTTACCAATTTGAGATACCTATTTTTTTTTCACTTTTCCGTACTTGTACCTGTAATATACCTACCTGTATACCTGTGAGTACCTGTATACCTAAAAAATTTTAGGTATTCTACGCACTGTGAATGTCAGTTCTGTATTGACATGGTTGAAACTTCGGCAAATTTTTTTAAGAACGGGAGTTTTAGCTATAAATAAACAATATTTATTTATTTTTTTTAATTTGAATTCGTGAAGAGTTAAAAAAAACTCAACTCAAACTCAAACATCTTTATTTCAAAATTTCAAAGTTTACATTTACAGGCAGGGGGGATAGGCCCCCCTCAAACTACAAACATATAACATTTACTTAAATTTAGGACAGGACTTAAAAACTAAAATTTCAACGTGCGCAGCACGTTGTGCTCATCTACTCGCCTTGCGAGCGTGTGAGCGCTTTAGCCTGGTCGATGTTTTGACCTCAAACCCCTGTTCCTATTCTTATTTAACAACTTTCCGCGACGCTCCCTGGTTACCCTTAAACGTCGATTATTTGACCCTGAGGTCGCTGGAGATTACCACGGATGGCGCGCACTAGGCCATTACATTGGCCTGCCTCGAGATTTTGGGTGGCGTGCTCGGATTTGGGTTGACAGAGCGCGCAGCGCTCTTTTGTGGGGAAAAGCTTTGAAAAACCCCACTTTTCATTCATTTATATAAAAAACAAAACAAAAAATGTTGTGCCCTTGGGCGATCTGGTTCACTGGACGCGTCCTCACTAGCAAATTGTGAGCTCAGGGTATATGCGCGTGAGCGCGGGTGCGGATTGAATGGGTTCGAACAACCCTGCACCCCGACCAATCCTGAGACCTGATGAGTCTCTAGGTAATGGTTTGGGTGCAGGTGGGGAAGTTTGTATGGGATGTCAGAGAATGAGGATTGGAGGGATTGGGTGCAAGAATTTACCGGGATTAGGACATGCGTTTTTCAGCTAAATTGGGCAATTTATGCCATTATGTTTGTTGGTCAGATTGGGGTGCCTGATGTTTAATTAGACAAGAGTGGTTTCCTCATGGTCAGCGAGAGAGGAGTTTATCGCACACTAACTCGCTGGCCAGTTGGAATTTTCCGAAGAACTGAGGGTGGAAATTGGACCTTGATGGGATTGCCAGAGTCTCCTGCTTCAGACTAAGGCTGTTGGCGCCTGCGCCAAACTTTCTTGTCTAATTTTATCTTGTCGTTGAGATTTTAGCTGTGCATTGGAGAGGGTTTTTTAATTCGGGTGTGTGAGTAGCAGGTTGGGATCGGAGGGTGTTCATGGGGGTTCAAAATAGATTGGTAAATTCTTGTATGGTGGGCCGTGAACTATGGGGTTGTCTGGATCATATCTCGTTGCAGTCATTCTGCGTGTTAGAGGGGAGCCTTGGACTTGATATCTGTAGAATTTTTCGCTGACCTCATCCAGGTAGTCAGAGATATAGGGAATGGATGCTTCCGCATGCATATATAAAAAAAAAGTTATCGCCCAACGTGGGGCTCGAACCCACGACCCTGAGATTAAGAGTCTCATGCTCTACCGACTGAGCTAGCCGGGCTTGATAAAAACTTGCTTCGAACCCTTTTTTATCAAAACGTCCATGTACGATTTTATATTATAACGGGTGTCCCAAAAAGATACCGACAAACTTCAAGAGGTAGTAAGGGACATCAAAACAAGCATTTTTGTTTATATAAACATGTATCCGCAAATGAGCCGTTTGGACTGTAGAGCAAAAAAGCTATTAAAATCATACCCAAATAATTAGACTTTTTTACTCGGTTTTTTATTTAGTTGGTCACCAGCATGATTTGCTAAACATTTGTGGTCGCACTTTTGTTAATTTTTAAGATGCAAAAACATTCCTTTATCAAAAACATTTCGAAAATTCCTACCTTGGGATCATCAAAATTTATTAGTAACTGGTCAACATTTTGAACAATTATTGTAAACCATAATTTATTAGTTAATAAAGCAAAATTAATAAGTTAACAGTGATTTAATTATTGTGAAGAATAAAAGTACCAAACAGTTTTTTGTATGTTTATATAAACAAAAATGCTTGTTTTGATGTCCTTCACTACAGTTTTAAAGTTTGTCGGTATCAATGAACTATAACCAAAAACTGGAATGCGAACACATAAAGGACGAACGTGAAGCCTAGTGCGGCTGCTGCGGAGGGGATACCTGTTTTTGTCGCACTCATTATGTTAAATGGCGAAAATTGCTTCCAACACGTATTCCAATTGATAAAACCTGTGAAGGGAAATATGACAAAACTTTCGAAAACGTCATATGTCAGCGAGCAACAGAAAAAAACAACATTCCCCCTTGTGGCATCTGTCTTTCATGGCTTCATTTTTTTGCCAGATATGGCGGCAATGTGTGCGCATTCCAGTTTTTAGCTATATGTAGTTCATTGGTCGGTATCTTTTTGGGACACCCTGTATATTATATATATTTTTTGAACTGATTGGTTTTTCAGAACTGTAAACTTCTGAAAGTTGATAATGAAACAAATTTTTTTATTGTTAATATTAGGTCTGTTTCTGCCACTTTATTGGTTGAAAACAGTCAGAAAACTAGTTTCAACCAATGAAATTCACTCTGACTGGTTTGTGATTTCTGCACAAACAGACCTATTATTTAAAATAACCTAAATATACCTATTGTCATTTAATTCAATTTAGCAGTCTTTCATTGCACCTAATTAATTTAATTTTCAGTGGCGTAGATATCCGCAATAATTAGGTATCACGATGGGCAGTAATCTATGGGGCAGTAGAAGAAAGTGATAGGTGGCAATCGGGGCCAAAAATGACACTATATAGTACAGGGTTATTGGTTATAAATGTCACCCCCCTCTATCTTTTTTATTTGACATTTTAGAAAAATGTGTCCCAAAGAAAAGTTTTATGGTTGATGAAATTAATTTTTTTGGAAAACTCACTTTCGCATATACAGGGTGTTTCAGAAAAGCTGGTCATGCTACAAATTTCTTATTTCAAACAGGATACCCTGTATATTATTGGATATTCGGATGCGAAGTAAAATTCTGAGCAAATTTCATGTGATGTACCCTATACCTAAGTTCAACTGTTTTGGAAATATTGACAGTTGAATATTGACTTTTTTGCAACTTTGACAGGCTATAGATTTTTATAAACTATCAGTTGACACCAATATTTGACATCAACTTTGAATTTAATCCATGATTGAAAATTCCAATTAAATTTAATCTTCGGTTAAATTCAAAGTTGGTGTCAAATGACAACTTGTGAAAATCTTAGAAAAAAATGTAAAATCGTTTAGGTTTAACAGCCTGTCAAATTTACAAAAGAGTCAATTTTCAACTGTCAATATTTCCAAAACAGTTGAACTTAGGTATAGGGTATATCCACTGATCTCAAAAATAAATGGATAAACAAAGAACGCTTCTAATGCTGCTAAGTTACGAGGTCATATTCTAAACAAAAACAACTGACTGGGACAGCTGTAAGCGTGCGCAGTAGATACATGTACTGTGCGTGCAGATAATCTGGCCAATGAAAATGAAGGAATTTCAAAATTTAGAACAATTGTTCGAAAGATAAGACACTGCGCAGGCGTTAGGCTGTTCCGCTGCACAACTCTTCGTAGAATATTGACCCCAAATTTTCGCACAAATTTTGCCAATCAAGCCGTATGATTGTTTATCCATTTATTTTTTAGATCAGTGGGTATATCACATGAAATCTGCTCAGAATTTGACGTAGAATCCGAAAATTAAATAATATACAGAGTATTCAATTTAAAAAAAGAAAGTTGGAGCACGGCCAGCTTTTTTGAAACTCCCTGTATATGCAAAAGTGAGTTTTTCAAAAAATTCAATTTCAACCATAAATTTTTTATTTGAGACAATTTTTTCTAAAATGTCAAATAAAAAAAATAGAGGGAGGTGACATTTATAATTAATAACCCTGTACTTTTGAATAAATTGGAGCCTAGATTGCTTTCTAAAGTATAGCAAACACGTAACAGCTTTTGAAAAAAAAGTTGAAATTTTTAATCTACAGGTGTTTGAAAATTGACGCTGATAGACGTCCTCTGCTACAAGAGGAAAATTGATGTAACGTCGATAGACGTATATTTAGAAATGTCACATAAATCAGGAGCGTAGCCAGAGGGAAGAAAGCGGCGCTCCCTATACAAATCTTCAAAAAGTTAAGGTAGTTACAGCCAAGCCAAATATTTTGGAGACAGGCTCAATCAAAGATAGACAAGTATTTTGGGAATCGGAAAATAGCGCTTTTCAAGTATATAGAATCAATCGATTGAACCCAAATACAGGGCATTCCATTTGAAAAAAAGGTATAAGTACGCAAAATTTCAAAGACTGTAAGAATAAAGGTTATTGCAATTTATTTGTGAGAATGATTATTAAAAATGGGTAAAAGCCTTTTGATAAATAAAAAAATAAATGTTTTTTGAAATTTCTTAGGCACGATTTCCTTTTTTAAGTTTTCTAAATAGCCAATGAATGTCTTCAAATAATGAAACAACATATTATCCGTTCACAATCCGATTCCACAGGTAGGTACAGGTAAAATCACCTTTCAATGCTATTTGATAGGGAAAGGTGATAAATTTACCTGCACCTGTGGACATCGGATTGTGAACAGGATATAGCACAACATCGCTCCAAATTGATGACTCCCAGTCAGTATATTATGATTACTGGAAACCAGCAATTTTTATTTCTTATATAGACAAGAAATTTCCCAAAGAAGAAGAATAATACACGAACCTTTTGCAGAGAAAAAGCTTGATAAAGCAGCAGCTTCAAAAAGGTATGGTTAAAGTAAGCAGGTTTTTTCCATATTTGAAAAGAAAAATGCTTCCCCTGTCTTTCCCTAGGCGCAAGCCTCTAGAGAAATTCACTTGCTGACCTTCCTCGCGCCCAATCGATATTTTCCATAGCCTCGAACTCATCGAAGGTCAAAAAAGGCGCCTCTATTGAATCCAGCTATATATCCAGTAGGCCAGTTACATGATTGTTTTAAAGCACCAGCAAAAAATTTTCAGTGAGAGACAAACGTCATCAAGTCTAAAAATACAGCAACACACAGTCAAGTTCATTTGCCAGATTCTCTGGCAAAAAAATAGTCAAAAAAACTGTGTAGTTTAGTGAAAATAGTTTCAAAAAAAATTACCATGAGAAGTATTAGACTGGTTAGTAGTGGACGGGAAATGCCCATTGTGGGCTTGGGTACTTGGAGAGGAAAACCCGAGGAAATGGAAAATGCTGTGAATGTTGCATTGGAAGTTGGATATAGGCATATTGGTAGGTACATACTTTGTATATGTATACAACATTAAATACATTATTAGAATTATTATGGATCCTATACTTGACTATGTAGAAAAAAGCATTTCTATGGATTCTAATCAAATGCCATTTTATCGTGAAGCTGGATTTTATAGAAACTTACAAGTGACTTGTTTAATTTTGTTCAACATCCCAGAAAGTTTTCATTTTCTATCCCTCTCTAAATAATTATTATTTTATAGATACCGCATTTAACTACAATACTGAAGAATCAATAGGAAAAGTCCTTAAGGAATGGATCGGTTCTGGAAAAGTTAAACGAGAAAATTTATTTATAACAACCAAATTACCCAATTATGGCAACAGACCTAGTGACGTTGAAAGATTTTTAAATTTATCCCTACAAAAATTACAATTGGATTATGTGGATCTTTACTTGATTCACATGCCATTCGGGTTTCTATTAAACGAATCTACAATGTCGCCAATGGTGAAAGAAAATGGAGAATTTTGTCTGGATACTGCGGATTATGTTGACACTTGGAAGGTAACAATTTTGATTTATAATTTGTCAGTATACAGTAAGAAGTTTAGTTGTTGCTCATTTCATTGAACTTCGCACATCATTAAAAATTCTGTGTATCATATACCTGCCAAAGTTTCAACTAGAATTAACTTTTAATTATAATCATAATTACCTATTAATTATTGTAATGTAATTATATCTTAACTTAAACACCATCTATTTATTAGGTAATGGAAGAACAAGTGAAAAAAGGCAAAATCAAATCAATCGGAGTGTCGAATTTCAATGCAAAGCAACTAAAAAGACTTTACGAAAGTGCCGAAATAAAACCGTCCGTTCTACAAGTAGAACTTCACGCCTATTTACAACAAAAGCAATTGAGAGAAGTGTGTAAAGGTCTTAATGTCGCTGTGACTGCTTTTTCTCCATTGGGAAGTCCTGGAGCTAATAATCATTTCAGTACCAAATATAATTATGAGTAAATATTTTTTTCTGTTTTAAATTTTATTAAATAGAAAACAAATTCTAGATTGAACGATTTTCCTGATATCCTGGGCCATCCGGAGGTCAACGAAATAGCATTAAAACACAACAAAACTCCTGGACAAATTCTCTTGAAGCATCTGGTTGAACAAAACGTTATCGTTATTCCAAAAAGTAGCAATTCCGAAAGATTGAAGTCGAACATCAGTCTGTTTGATTTTGAATTGACTCGAGAAGATACGGATAAATTAGATCAATTGGATCGAGGCGAAAAAGGAAGGATATTCAATTTTTTGTTTTTCAATGGAGTGGAAAATCATCCGCATTATCCTTTCAAGAAGGAGGAGGACAATAATAATTGATTGACTTTGTATTTTTTTGTTGGATAATAAAATTTATTGTTTTTAAACAAGTTTATTTCTGAAGTGATTGAAGATTCCACTTAATTTAACTGTTTCGAAATAATAGGTAATGTGTGTGTATTTTTCATACGGAAATTGATAATACCTAAAGTTACATTAACCAATTGCCACGGTAGTTGATAATCAATTATCCATTTTTTATATGCTTTAAATGAGCTTACCCGTTTCCTCCATGATGTTCTTAGATACATTGTTTGTAAAGTAAACATCAAGTTGCTGAATCGCCATTAAATTAGTATTTAAGCCAGCGCAATTCCATAAGGAACGTTCTTTTGTTTTCAAGCTTTTGCTGTAGCAATTTGATCCACATATTTTTTTTTTTGTCACCTCTGTATTTTAGTCAATAAATAAAAAGTTTTTTAAAATACAAGTTTCTGAATCGAAAATATAATTGGCGCAGTCAGTAGGATACTCAGAGTGCTTAAGTTTCGGGAAAGTCGATACAGTCGCAATCCGTCGCAAAAATTTCAAAAGATTGAAGGAAGTTCGAAAAAGTGAATTCTTCGGGAACGTGAAATTTAGATTATCAGTGCTGCTATTGAACGTTCCAGATACTGTCCACTTCGAAGTGGTTAACTGAGTAAAAGGAATAACAAGAAACAACAATACTGTTATTAGCATCGTGCCTAGTAAGTACATCCTTTCTCTTTAAACATTTTGTAATTGGTGGTCCATAATTAAGATTTTTGGAATTTTGATCTTTTGTAATTTTCAATGGTTTAGTGGTTATCGTCCTTATTAAATTTATGATAGCTACCAAGTAATTTTAAATTTTTGATTTACTGAAAAGACCTAAATTCAGATTTTTGCTCTTTTGCAATAATTTCAAAACTGTTTGCTGATGGCTATTTGCACCCCGCTATAACTTAAGAAGGGCTATTTAATCTAAGTGGAGCTTTGAATGTGACTCTTGTGGAAACAAAAGTAACATTCAAAGCCTAACTTTACTAAGTATCCCTTGAGTTAAAGTCGTGCAGATAGCCATGAGAAGACTAAAATCAAAAATAAAGAAAAAGTAACTTAGAATTTACAAACCCAAAATAATAAATAATTTTAAGAAAAAGCCAACCATAAGATTAATTTTAAAATAAAAATAAAATTTTTAAATTTTAAAAATAATCTCTTTTCTATAATTCAAAGAAAGATAGGTATACCTATGTCAGATTCTGGAGAAGAAATAAAGAATCTCTCAGCTCAATTTGATTTAACTCATCTTTATAATTCTAATTTAAAAAGTAACTAAAATCAAAGACCAACAGTAACAATCAGTGGAAATTTAAAATCAATTGTTCAACTTATCAAACCTCCCACATAACAGTGAAAGAACATTCATATTCTTAGAATATTCCCTCAAAGTGCTTTTTGGAATGTTCTTTTAGGAATGTCTAATGAATATTCTAAGATTGTTTCGATTGAAATATTCATTTTTGAACGTTCTATTTATGTACTAGGAATGTTGCTTCTATGCACCTACCAGAAAGATTGTGCTAAGAACCTACTTTATATAACAATCTTTGAATATTGTCATACGAACATTATTATAATGTACCCTAAAAAATGTTCTTTCGGCTAATATCTCTATCAAGTATTAAGAATATTCCCATCAAGTTGTGCTGAGAAGTTTATGTAGGTAGGTAACCATGATAAGAATATTTTCATATTGTTCACCTAATTATCTAAAGTACCGACTCAAAAAATCTTAATTTAACAATTAAACAATAATGCTCTATCTAGAACCTACTAAGAATATTATAGGTATATTCTTTTTCTTTTACTTTGTAAAACGTAAGACTTCGAAGAGAAGGAGCCACGCGCTATGAAAGATCTACATCTTGCCTCGCGTTTGAATCACCTTGGAACCTGTTTCTCTCAGTTGGCGTGCTTCGACGAGAGCATAACAAGCTCCAAACCGGAGGTTTGGTTAAATACTTGTGTTTTCCAGAGAAGTTTTCCAACAACTCTTTCGCTGCCTTTAATATAAAAGGGCTGAAAAGAGCATTATTTCGCATTATTTGGAAGCGAAAATTAATATTCCAAGTATATCCTTAGAATCAACCAAGAATATTATGTCTAGGATGCATATTGAGAATGATATATGTAGATATATACTAAGAATATTTCAAGCATATTGGTATAATATTCTTTCGAGAACATAAAAATAATGTCATAGAAACATTCTTTAAATGTGAGAATATACATTTCGAGCATATTTTTAGAATCAAACAGGAATATTCTTTTCAGGATGTACTTTGAATCTCATAGGTATATTCTAGGAATATCCTAATGGATATTTATTTATGGCGATTTACTTACATACGTCACTCACTTATGGCAAAAAGCGATTGAGTTGCGGGGTGAAACAAGAACAATTGCCTTAGATATATCTAAAGCATTCGACAAAGTTTGGCATGAAAATCTGCTCAACAAGCTCAAAGCAATGGGATTATCGCCAAAACTTTGCACTTGGTTTGAAAGTTACCTAAAGGACAGATCCATTTATGTTGCACTGGATGGCCAGAACTCCAACTCTTACCAAATAAATGCTGGTGTGCCACAGGGAGCAATCCTTTCGCCAACTCTTTTCCTGATTTACACAAATGACCTCATAGATAAAACAGTAAATCCACTTTATTGCTTTGCAGACGATGGCAATGTAGTCTCCTCACTCATACCACCCACAGGTCTTTCCGCACGTGAATTCCACCATCTTAGACTAACTCAAATATCGCAGATAAATAACGACCTGGAGATAATAGAGGACTGGGGTAACAAAAACCTTGTACAGTTCAACGCGCAGAAAACCCAAGCAGCTCTGTTTTCAAAAAAGACCAGCACCGGTGAGCCAAACATCATGCTATCTGGAAGTGCTGTCACATTACAGAGTCAGTTGAACATCTTGGGGGTTACTGCAGAGATCAACATGTCTTGGCACAGTCACGTGGCAGATATTGCTAAAAGGGCCTCCCAAAAGCTGGGGGTGCTATTTCGTACAAGACATCTGTACACACCAAGCCAATTGCTGACACTCTACAAAGCCCAGATTCGACCAACTATGGAGTACTGCTCACATATATGGAGTGCAGCACCCAAACATACCTTAATGCTTTTGAATACCGTGCAAAAACGAGCTATCAAGCTGATCAATGACCCCGCACTTACTCGTAACTTGGATGGTCTCGAACATCGCAGATCTGTGGGCGATTTATCTCTCTTCTACAGGTACTATCACGGAAAATGCTCTGAAGAGTTGGCACGTATGATTCCACCGAGAGTAGCACCTACCAGGAGAACCCGTCAAACAGACGGTAACCATGAATTTACTGTCAAACTAGAGGCACCAAGAACCTCATTATATCAGAATTCATATCTCTGGAGAACAGCATCGCTGTGGAATAAACTCCCTGCGACGGTTTTCCCTGCAGGTTACAACCTGAACCGTTTCAAGACCAACATACACCGACATTTCCGCGCACTTGCCGCTTCTCGAGCGTGATAGGACATTTCCTTGCGAGTGCGCATATCCGTAAAAAAAAAAAAAAATGGATTTCCCAGGAAGTTATTCTTGGGTATTGCAAACAGTATTCTACAATCTTTTCTCAGAACATTCTCAGGACATTCGCAATGGTTTTGGCGAACATTCTAGGCACATTCCTCCTAAATAAAGAACATTCTTAATACATTCTAAGGATGCAATTTTGTTATGTGGGCTTTCAGTGGCGAAGTCAATATTTTAGAATGTTTCATAAAAAACATCAATGAATTTTATCAAACCTATTGCACTGGTGAAAATGCCAAGAGAATATGTGGTTACCGCTGTAAAATCAAAATTAAAAAATGACGCGGGAAATTTTGTTATGGCACGTCCTGATTTACAAATATGGACCGATATAAGACAAGCATTGAGAATAAAATGTTGGGTTCAATATTCTAGACAAAATTTGGTATAAGAGCTCATGTATACCACTAAAGCTAATAAAGAATCTATAATTGAGTATTTGGATAAACTAAAAGGTTAAGTTCAAAGAATTACATCTAAAATCATGTGCGACCTAAATTTAACGGTATAGTTGCAAATGTCTTGATTGAACAAAATGAAATTATTGCTATTCAAAAATCTAGTCACTGATACGCTAACCGAATTAAGAACAATTTCAATAATTCAAAATCCACAAACGTTAGATGCAGCTAATAAATTTGTGTTAAGTTAAATTACCAATTAGCTGAAAACCACATGAAATTAATGTAGTAGAGGACTTAATCATTCTACTTAATCAAAGTAAAAATCAAAATTATTCCAATTTCAAAAGAAAGAATATGCGATTTTGTTCACGACAAACATATACAGGGTGTCCACTTAGTGTGATATCGGACAATATCTCCTTACAGGGTGATGCAAGAAAAAAATTTAAATTACAAAGTTGTTTGATACTCTAATATGCATTAGTTGAAAATATTTTTGAATATACAGGGTGCTCCGTTTATGGGGTATGCGACAGAACTTTGTTATTTTTAATGAAACACCCTGTATGTGATTGCATATTTGGATTCTACGTATAATTCTGAGCAGATTGCATGTAATATACCCTATACCTAAGTTCAACTGTTTTGGAAATATTGACAGTTGAAAATTGACATTTTGCAACTTTGATAGGCTGTGAAACCTATACGGGTAATTTCAGACGAAAACCGATTTTACATTCCTATCTTAGATTTTTATAAACTATCATTTGACACCAACTTTGAATTCAATCCATGATTAAAAATTCCAGTTAAATTTAATCTCCGGTTAGGCGGTTAAACTCAAAGTTGCTGTCAAATGATAGTTTATGAAAATCTAAGATAGGAATGTAAAATCGGTTTTCGTCTAAAATTAACCGTTTAGGTTTTACAGCCTGTCAAAGTTGCAAAAAGTAAATTTTCAAATGTCAATATTTCCAAAACAGTTGAAATTAGGTATAGGGTATATTACATGAAATCTGCTCAGAATTTTACGTAGAATCCAAATATGCAATCACATACAGGGTGTTTTATTTAAAATAACAAAGTTCTGTCGCATACCCCATGAACGGAGCACCCTGTATATTCAATTTTTTTTTTAGCTAATGCATATTAGTGTATCAAACAACTTTGTAATTTAAATTTTTTTTCTTGCATCACTCTGTAAGGAGATATCGTCCAATATCGCACTAAGTGGACACCCTGTATAATATTTTTTTTTACCCGATTAGTTTCCCAACACTATGGTCTTATGTGTGTAATAAAAAATATTCGGAAACATCTTCGTCATATGAGAAAATTTTAAATAAAATCTCTTTAATAAAGAAAATAATTTTTAAAAATACAAATTTCTCAACGGTTGTTTTTATGAAACTCATCAAGCAACATTTGTAATTTTTTTAAAAAAACTTCCAAGTTTCAATAGGTATCCAAGAAGGTACAAGCGATACCAAAAATTGTTAGAAAGTTTTTTTCAGGTCATGACCAACGTGAATTCAGGGACACAACGGTCCCTGTTTGGGAGTCAACCCACTGAGCAGTGGACTCAGGCTTCCCGTGCCAATCCTCGACGCGTTTCGTCCTTGTTAGGACTCATCAGAAGGACATCGGTTGAAGCTCCCTGTCCAAGCAAAATTGAACTTCGTTGACCAGTCAGAAACAACTACTCCGAGGGCAAATACCCCTACCGGCATTGAACTACACTGATTGGTCTGAGCTTTCGTTGGCAATGAAAATTGTTAGAAAGTTTTTTTTTCAGGTCATGACCAACGTGAATTCAGGGACACAACAGTCCCTCTTTCTGACTGGTCAACGAAGTAGGTATAATCATGCCCAAATAAATTAATTTTGAATTTGAAGAAATTCATATGTCCACCGTTTTGAAAAACATGGTGAGATTGGAAGTCTTATGGGTCGTAGAGCCTGGCTAATCGGGTCAGATCTCATAATCCAACAACATCGCAAATTACTAATTTAGTAAAGGAATACATGCCACCTGGTATTTATTGCCTCCATTTCCTGAATAAATCTTTAGAAGGAACCTATTGTGTTACGAGCATTACAAGAATCGTTCAATTCGAATTCATTTACCTTGTATAGGTACAGTCGTGAGCACAAAAAGTGGGACACCCGTGTTTTCCTATTAGGCAATTCAAACCACGTGACTTTCAAGATGGCGTGGCGGCTACACATGGGCCAAAAAACAGAAAAAAATATCTAGAATCTGCTCGATTTATTAGTTTGGGTACCTAGTCAACAAATATTTTATTAAATAGTCTAAATCAAAGTTGCAAGCAAAACTCTAAGCAAAATAATTTGAAATACGCATAAAAACACATTCAAAACAAAATTGCTTGGCCGCCACGCCATATTGAATTTAACCTATCTGACAGATGGATTGAATTGCCTAATTGTAAAACGGGCTCACCAGCTCTTCCTATGGCAATGACAGGGGTCAGGGATTGTCATGTTTGACAAAAAATCGATTGTAGGGAAAAGACTGATTTACGCAAAATGGCGAAAAATTACAAAACCTGTCAGTCGGGTGTTTCACTTTTTGTGCTCATGACTGTAAAGTCTGTTTTTTTTTAAGATAATTCCCCAAGTCAAAAATTTAGTAACTATGCTGGCAACACAAGCTTTTTCTACATAAAAAATTTGAAAGCATTGACAATTTTACATTGTATTGCCAACATAATGTCATTTTGGCTTTAGTCTTTAAAAAAAAACAGATTTTACATTTCCATTTTTTTGTTAGCAGATATCATAAAATCTGTTTTTTTTTTTAAAGATAAAAGTCAAAATGACATTATGTTGGCAATACAATGTAAAATTGTCAATGCTTTCAAATTTTTTATGTAGAAAAGGCTTGTGTTGCCAACATAGTTACTAAATTTTTGACTTGGGGAATTATCTTTAAAAAAAAAACACACTTTAGAAGTTGATCTTCAACGAGAGAAAATTCAGCAATATCATGAGACTTGAGAATAAAACCTCTCATAGAGGAATCTCTGAAAATGTTGCAGCCTAAAATAAATTATTCTTTTGGCACAATATAGAGAAAGACATGCAGAACTATGTCAAAGTATGCGAGATATGCAATAAAACCAAGTATCAACTGAACGACAACCATACAAAATCATATTTAAACTAAAACTCATTGGTACGAAACACTTTAAACATATTTATATTGACACATATGCTCAATAACCAGAAATTTCTGACCATTATTGATAGCGTTTCAAAAGACGGTCAAGCCTCTTCTGTAAATACGAAAACAGCTAACCATCGCACAGATAACATCACAGTTACTGAAATATTTTAGTGATCATGGAAAATTTCTGAAAATCAAGTCAGATAGTGGAGCAGATTTCAAAAATGCTCTGACCAAATTTTTGTACATCATACAAAATTGAGTGTCATCATACAACTCCAAGAAATCCAAACTCGAATAGTTCGATCGAAAGATTCCATTCGACACTACGTGAAAGTATAACGGGTTTAAAACTCCAAAATCCGAATACGAGTATTATTGATCTAATAACAATCGCTATATTCAATTATAACAACAACTCATAGTACAATTGATCACACCTTTTTTCAAATGATTAAAAGAGATTTGAATTATACCATACCAATTGAACAAACAGAAAATAAACTAACAACTGTTTGGTAGAGTCCCTCACAAATTTAAATAAAGAAATTCCAGAAAAATTCTTAGCGATACAAACAGTCTTTGTAGAATCACGCAATAAAAATCGTGAACCAGAACCGGAATGACAAGATCCAATTTTCATAAAACAATTTAATAGAAACAGTCTGCGATGTGATAGCAAAACACAGAATCGCTTTGCTAAACAAAATGTTAAACTACAATAATTTATTTCAGGTACTCCGAGATGAATCCCTTAGTATTCCTCACTCTCGTTGGAGTCACTCAATTAAGCGTACCGCTATACATTGATGACGGTAGAAAATCCTATTTTACCAATTTCCTTAGCCTAGGAACTACTTACGTGGTCTATTAAATTTCATGGGCACAGCACAAAAATGGTATTCAATCTAACCAAAAGGTTATCACAGGAAAATTAAAGAATATTACCTTGGAGAACCAAAATTTCCATTCAATGTTAACGTTTAATTTAATATTAAATAATATCAATATTCAAAGTAATAAACTATTTTACAGCAAATATACCCAAAAGTCAGTAAATTACTTTTGATAATAATGGTTTATACACATATTTATAAAGTGAATGGAGCCAATGTAATTTTTACACGAACATTTATGTATTGAGAAAGTTACAGAATAATATCTTTGCTAGATTTCTAGTTACAGTTTTAAAGAATGTGTTATATTATTACCTACGTGATGTGTTTAAGAACGCCTGGAGTATAACCAAGCAAGAGAAACTGCGAGCTGCGGTTCATTCGTTCTAGTTGTATGTAGACCTATTTGGATCACCATCCCAGGACTTGAAATTATTGTTTTTTCTAGAATGCAGTTCTATTTTGTGTACTATTTCCCAAAAAATAATATTTTTACAAATAATAGTATTTATTTCAAACATTTTTTAATGGTGGCCTTATTAGGAGCATAATGATCCAAATAACGCCAATGGTAAGCGTCTTTGTTTTAGGCAAAAACGACCACTCATATAAAAAAATAAATAAATTGGTGTTAATATTCAAGTAATAGAAGCGAAACACTTCACATATAAGCTCGTGATTTTTGTTGGGTTTGGTGGATAAGGTAAGGAAAAAAATAAAACATCTTAACATGGTCTTATTTGGGACTGGTACCTTATACCTGAAAGTCAACAAATACCTTTTGATAATAAAATCAAATATTAAAAGACAATGAAAACTCAAGTAAAAATGCAAAATGAGTTAAATATATTTGTTATACACACACCAATGATTAATCTCAACCATTTCATATTGTATAAAATGTCTCCAATTCCTATCAAAGAACTTACCATCAGGAATAAGTACCCTCTTACCTATCACTCACTACAGACATTTTACTACAATACTTTATGGAAATGCCCAAAAGTTGAAAATGTGTACTTTTGTAACGGAGCGAAGAGCTCAAGCAAGAAGAATCATGTGTCTATGACCTGATTACTGACAGACCACAACAATATGTCCTTCCTCCAAAGTGAAATATGAGAAACTAACAGTGAAACAACTCCCGAACGGACAACTACCTACCCTAAGAAAAGCCTGATGATAGTTACCCAATGTGACATGATAAACCATATGTATATTATTATAACCAATCCATTCCAACACTAGTTTCTTTTGAAAAATGCTTTGTGAAAATACAAAATAAAACATTTTCAAAAACCAGCGAGAACTTCAATTTTGAACTGAAGATTCCAAAAATAGACATCACTGAACTTCCAGAGAATGAAACAACATTGGAACTTCAAGAAATTAACCAAAAAGCCCTAGAAGAAGCCTTCAAGACGACGAAACAAATACGAGTTCATAATCTTAAAGAATTGTCTTTTGAAAACTCTTATTTGAATATTTAATCATAGGTTTAAGTCTATGGTAAGTCTCGCTATTTTAATCATAATTTTAATGTTTTACTGTTTTTGGAAGTTTGAAACTTCAGAAAAAGGTTGTGCAAATGTGCAAATTGAATTGTCTGATTTGCATAAGCAACAATCCACATTTGCAACATCTTAAAGAGGGAGGAGTTATATTAACCAATTGCCACGCTAATTAATAATCAATTATCCGTTTTTGTATGATTTAATGAGTTTACCTCTTTCCACCATGATTTTTTAAATACATTGTTGTAAAGTAACCATCAAGTTGCTAAATAAAATTCATATGGAAATTTATAATATACAAAAGAAATAATACACACAAAATGTTTTTATTTATTTATCAAAATCATCATTGTTACAAAAAAATATTCCAAAAAAAAAATTTAAATCTTGAATTTCTAACTGATGCGGTACAACATACGCCGTTGCATTCTATGTTGAAGCTGTTGTCTACCAATCATTACCTTAATGACTTTGCTGATAACCCTTTCGGCGTAGCCTTGCTGAACAAAATCTTGAATGATATTTTGCTGAGAAACTTGCGTTCCAATAGCAAAACGTCTTTTCAGTTGCTTCTCGACGCGCGATAACATTTCTTGTTCTCCTTCGGTAGTAAACCCTTCAGCACCTAAAGAAAAAAAAAATGGTTTTAGTGTATTATGATATGAATTTTCATGAAAAGTCTTCAATTTTATCTGAAATGGATCCATCGCAAAATAATTATTTTGAACAAGTCTAAAACAAAAATGATTCTTACCTGCCAAATTTCCACTCATAGCAGCATCCAAAGTAGACACTTGAAAAAGTCTCAAGGCTTCATCGACGTGACTTGACGTAGCAAATGGCTGTAGTTGCATCTTTGCCAAAGATTCCGATATACGTACAACAGCTTCCAATTGACGCACCGTAATCGGAATAGCATTCTTATGATCAACCGCTTTTTCGTGTTGGTTCGCACCAGATCTCATCATGACGTATCTTCTTTTCAATTTTTCGGCAGCTTCCTTGTTCAATCTGGGGCCACATCTGGTGCGGCAATAGTTGATAAACTTTTTCAAAAATTCCAAAGACAATTCGCCTTCTTTGGGTTCTTGAGTTATTTGCCCAGCATTCATGTGAATGCTCATAACGTGCTTGGCCAGAATCTTGTCTCTGGACTGATTGTGTTCGTCTTTGACGATGAATATCATGTCGAATCTTGAGAGAATGGTCGGCAAAAAGTCAATATTTTCATCACCCTAAATAATAAGTACAAAAAAAATTATTTTATTAATATTTGATTTAAATAAAAAAGTTACCTTTGTCTCATCCCAACGACCAAAAATACTGTTGGCAGCAGCTAAAACCGAACATCTTGAATTCAAAGTGGTGGTAATTCCAGCTTTAGCAATAGAAATAGTTTGTTGTTCCATAGCTTCATGAATAGCCACCCGATCGTCTTCTCTCATTTTATCAAACTCGTCGATGCAGACTACACCTCCGTCAGCCAACACCATGGCGCCACCTTCCATAACGAAGTTTCGGGAAGACGGATCACGCATTACTGAAGCTGTTAAGCCCGCCGCAGAGCTGCCTTTGCCTGACGTATAGACGGATATTGGAGCCACTTGTTCGACGAACTTTAGTATCTGCGATTTGGCGGTACCTGGATCACCAAGCAAGAGGACATTTATGTCGCCTCTTCTGGTCAAGCCATCTGGTAGACGTTTTCGAGAGCCTAATGGTGTTAAAAAATGATTTTGTTAATAGTTGTGGGAGTAAAAGAGAAGATGAAGTTTATGTGAAACCTTAGAGGCAATGTTTTGATAATATAAATTCCACATGATGATAATGGATTTTTACCTCCAAAAAGTAAACAAGTAATTGCTTTTTTAATATCAGCTGCTCCATAAATCGAAGGAGCAACGCTGGTAGCCAAACGATCGTAGATATTTGGCATGGCTGCCATCCTCCTGAACAAATCTTCTTCTTCTGAGGTTACAGCACCACATCCGGCTGATCCAAGGCCTTCACTGTCCAATTGTAGACCAACAACGCGCATGTATGCTGATCTTACACCAGTAGTTGCTTTCTCTTTGCCTTCTCTCTGTTGCAAAAATAAATTAGAAAATATTGTATTATTTTAATAATTACTTACCCTAGAAACTTTAGTAACTTTCTTGATAGAATAAATCCCCAAAATGAACACTCTATTCCCAGGTACAACTCTATCGCACAAGTATCTGTCACAATAAAGCAACATGTGCCTGGGAATTTCACCCTGAGGAATGCCATCGGGCAATTCTTGCAATTTCAATATCTGAAAATCGACAGACTTGCATTTGTCAGGCATGATGAAGTACGGATCCAAAGAACATTTGGGACGACCAGCCTGTTCTGTATTACACTTTCTTGGCATAACATAACCCTCCAAACCGGCTTTAACCGGTAAATTAGGTATAACGGTGCTGCAAGAACGACATTGAATGGAAATTTTTGTTGCTTTGGCTCTGATGCCAGAGGCACTCACAATAATGCCTGGGATTTTCACTAAACGAGATACAACATCTGACTATAATAAACAATTTTAATTTTAGTACCTAATATTCTTAGTCAACCATTGATTTCTACCTTCAATGCTCTCAAATTTGAGGCATGGGCATCAGAATTGAATGTGATTTGAATGTCTTCAACTTTTTCTTCACCGGCAGGCCTAGGAGCTGTTAATTCGTCTGCCACTTCAGTAGCGGCATCCTCGAGAATAGGCAAATGTTCAGTGGGTTGTTTGTAGAGTTTATCGGCCAAAGTTTCATCGAAACTGCCAACATCTTCGATGTTTACGTCGAGAGAGTATTGACGAAGATTGTAGTTGCGTTTTAGAGTGTCCCTAGAAAAATTGATAATATGAATTACCATATTTACGAAATGTATACCAAATATATACCAAAAACTATCTATGAAAATAAGTGCATAAACCATAATGGGCTTAAGGATGTATTCAAAAAGATAGTGAGTACAGTGGAAATTGAATAATTTGGATATACAAGTATTTCTGCCAGCAAGAGCCAGTGTGAGTATACCATTCTAAACATAATAACCATTGTATGGTTTTCAATCGATTTGGTCAGAAACATTAAGCATAAAAAATAGGTAACAAAACCGAATCGATAAAGAGTTTCCTGAGTACATAAAAAATATAGAGAACAATATAAGATTGGATCCTAACATCTTTTGGAAGTTTATTTATTTATTTATTTATTTATTTCACACTACAGAGGTATACAATGGGTATATAAATATTCAATGTGAAGTACAATACATCTTTTTTTTTTTTTCTTCAAAAAGCACCTAAGTGATTTAACACTTGTGTTGTGCTGAGATTATAAACTAGATTACAAATTTATTATACCTAAGAATGGTTAATTTATAGTTACAATTACAATACAGTGAAGTGTACATAATATACATAATGTGCAATATACCTAAAAGAAAACAGAAAGTCAGTAGCTTAGGTTGGTTGGTACTACTACTACTACTTAATTCAAAATTTTATCAAATGCTATCAAATTATGAAAAATATATTTTTTCGATTCCCTTGCAAATAATTTATATTTCTGGATTTTTCTGATCTCCATTGGCAATATATTGAAAGCTTTAGGGACAGTATAAATGAAGAATCTATGGGAAATACCTTTATTAAATCTACGAGTTGACAATAACTCATTCGATGTACTACGAGTCTAGATCTAGGAAACCTTCTAGACCAGGATGTGTTACTTATAATGCTTCGACTATAGAGGAGCCAAATCAAATTTCAATAGCCTTTGCACATTACTTTGCATCAGTTTGTGAGACCCCAAATTCAGAGACGTATATGATGTTGAATTGGAGAGCGGCGGCTTTTGTTTCTGATTGGAGACACAGATTGATATGGGTCCTATTTGCGGGTGTGAGAGTAAAACACAACTGTGGACTATTATTTTAATATGATTTTATTTAAAATAATTTTATCGGGCATCGGCCAGAAAGGCTTGAAATATAATAACCAAAATTTTTACTATGACTTATTTAAAATTTCACTCTTTTCTCATAAATACCTTAATTCTATTATAAAAATTCCATCTAGTAGTTTATCATATTCAATAATAAAAGTTTCGTACCACCATAAAACTGAATTTATGGCACAAAAATTGACTCCAAAGGCCTATTCGGTTTTTGAAAAAGGACGGTCCCAATATTGAAGCTGTCAAAGTAATAGAATGTCCAAGTTCTAAAAATCAACAAGCAGGTTCCCGACTATTACAGGTATAGTCGTATTCACGATAGAGTTTAAATTTTGACCGTTATTTTCACCAGTTGAAAGTAAATAAAATCCCTAGATCTGTCCCTTTTTCTGTCAACCATGAAATAATGATACATGACATTTCGATTTGACATATAAAATTATCAGATTTGGATCTTAGAATTTTGAATTTCGAATTTTTGCGCGAGATCGTTTTATTGCCGTTTTCTGCATTATTTTTTGATATTTTGTTATATTCTCAATCGGTTTTATGGTTTTTTATGTAGTGTTCTGTGCCTTTGTGTTTCGGTGTTGCATTTCATTTCTAACCTGGTTTTAGTTCGGATTTAAGTGTTTTGTCTTTTTATAAGTGTTCACTTTGGACTCTATCAAGACTTATCTGGTTTATTTTATCTTCTTCAGGTAAGTTAAACCTAATACTTACACAATATTACGATTTTAAAAGTGCCGTTTTCTTATTAGCGATGACAGAAAAATCCCCGGACAAGTCCGATCGTACCAGGGTCCTGGAGACTTTGCTCTGTTCCAGCATCTCAGATGATTTAGGTGTGAAGAAAATACGGTAAAATTGGCAACTTTAAATTACCACTGTCATAATTCATCGCCAATAATTTTCAGGGAACAGCAATAAACCTTGGAGATGCTTCTTCTTTACGAGACGAATCTTTTTTTTTTCTAATCAAGAGGGAAAGTGACAAGGTAGTGTTTTCAAATTTAGTAAAAATAAGCAAATAATCCTTTTGTAGAGACCAATAATTCATGGGAACCCTGTGACTCAGCAATTTATACAACACGTATACAACCATTTCAAGGTGTCTCATGAAGATCAAAATCCCATAACTGTAAGTTAATAACAATAAAGTTAGTCTTGATGGATCATAGAAACGTTTTCGTCTTAATCTCAGTAAATGTAGGTACAAGTTTTGGAAGGGGATATTTTCGAACCGAGTGGCTTTTGTTAATTTTTAATAAATAAATTGTAATTTACTGTTCCATTGCCTTTCTAGGAGACAGCTAAGGTTTTGAAACTAAGTGAGACCACTGTCTATAAATATAAGGATGGTTCAGTTGAGTCTGAAATTACCCCTGTCACGCGGAAGCGTAAGAAGTTGCAGACAACTGATTCAAGTGAAAGCGTCAAACAGACTATTCGATTAGAGATACACAAAATGTATACAGAGAATAAGTTGATGTTCTACTTTGAACATAGAGTTTTTTCAATGTTACTTCATATTAACATTACCAGTAGATTATTCCGAAAGAATACACCTGATAACATTGGAACTTCTCAGATCAAATTAAACTGTTTTTCATAGTTTAATACTATTTTTTTATTTCAGGTCAACACAAATTAAGATGCTGCTAGGATTTCTTTCATTCCATAATTTCATGATATTTTTTAGAATTGTTTTCTTGCTTTTCAATAAAGGTACCTGAGTTATTGGAGTCTTTCATAAGGATAAGTATTCATATTCCCCTCTTTGACGTACCTACACAGTTTGGGTTCAGATATTTGCAGAGCTTCTGTAACTTCTGCTGCATGCTTTATCCTGTGTGTTGGGTTTATTGTTTTTCAGATGTTTAGCATTTTGTGTTGTCATATTTTCTAGTGGACTTTGGTACCTCTAAACATGGTATCACTAATTAAACTTCCTATTTAATGTATCATCTAATATTATGCTTGTATAAATTATTTAGAGGGGCAATGTCCCATCTGTCGCCCACCTCTTACTGTTATTCTTCCTTTTTTATATTATTTAGCAGTTTTTGGTAAAAAAACCCATTACTACACAGGTAATTGATTAATTAATAGTTAAATTTAATTATGCACGTCCACTTGTGTCAGTTGTCTCTTGTGTGTGATGTTTGTACCTGCGACGAAGCAGCACTGGTGATGACTTAAGGCCGGAAGCACTCGGCGGATTTTCTTAATAAATTATTACACAGAATGCATACTCCTCTCTTCTTCAAATATAAGTTTAAGCCATTTCACTTACACAAACTAGACTGGGTAATTTTAGTTCATTTTTGGGTAGTAGTCTTTTTGTTATAGGGACTGGTGTTAAATAGAAATACTAAGTTACTTTGTTCAATTACCTTTAAGAGTTACGTTATAATGGTGTCACCAGCAAATTCCATAAGAATACACTCGGTGTCATTATTGACGAAAGTCTCAAAGGTAATTGAACAAGATATACTAACTAAAATCAGTAATATTTGCTGTTGCTACAGTACTACAATATTTAAACAAGCATTTTTCGTTTTTAGAATTGCATATGTTACTCTTAAGACTGTAAGTGATAGGCTGAAAGAAAGTGAAATTTATTACGGTTCCCAGTCAAGTTTAGGCAGGGTTTTGCTCACGTTAGGATTTACCTTTAGAAAGGATGATCCAAGAAGAGCCCTCATGGAAAAGCCTGATGTAAGCCACATGAGAAGAGTTTTTGGGTAGAAATTTTAGTACTGTATAATTTTATTACTGGAAAATTTGAGTAGAAATTTTAGTACTGTATAATTTTATTAATGGAAAATTTGAGTAGAAATTTAAGTACTGTATATTATTATTGGAAAAATTTGGGTTCATTTATTTAAAATTAAATATGTATAATATGTGTGGAAATTCTGCAGTTGTTTCTCTCTTTTGCAAGTAAACCCCCTTCAGCATTTAATTCTGTAGCTACCCAAGGAAATAACTAGCATCAATAAACCGCTCGCATATACCATCTAACCTTTAAAAATCAACAGAGTACTTGGGCGGCCAGCTACAGCAACAACTATTAGAAAATATTACGTTTGTTCTATTACAGATGTTTAATATTACTATGCAGGATTTTAATAACTTGACTTCCTTTAAAGAAATTAAAAATAAATCTGGAATGCATATCATTTTCCTAAATACGACCCTGTCGTTTATCCCAGCTGGAGGAATGAAAGCGCTTACGCATGCTGGCAATCTAAAGAAAAAAAATACTAGATATGTCAACGCGAACTGTCAACTTCACTTTCTATCGTGATTACGACTATACCTGCTAAATTTTGAATTTTAATTTGAAAAGTTTTTGCTCTTTCAAGGCAAATCAAATCTTTTTGGACCATCATAGATTAAATTTTAAATGATACACGTTTGATATGAATTTTATTAATAAAACTTGTGTAACTAAACCACTCGGCTAACACGTCGTGGTTTAACGTTACACACGTTTCATTATGGTGTTCATATCGAACTAGCATCATTAATAACTATAAAAGATTTTCTCTGAGTGTGTTTATTGACATTAAGCAGTTACAATAAACAGTCCTCTCAACATAAATATGTTACATGGAAAGAAGTGCCTATCTCATCAACCACAATAATATTATCTCAACTATTATTCTTTGTAGATCCTTGCAATCCTTGCGACGACACTTTAATGGAACTAGCCCATAAACCAAATACTCTTAGATTATATACAGGCACACCTAGATACGCAAAGCATTCAAAATAAATTCAGCCAAGAAGTGGTCACAGTCTAAGCCCATGTCTTATACCAAGTATGCACTGATACGTTGGATACCTAGAAAAACTTGAAGCAATTTTTTTTTAAACGATTTGATTGGTCATCACTTGTCAACGCGTGTGTATTTGGTTTATGTGGGAATCAGCTTTTAAGGGCGTGCGTAAAAATTTTGTGCCGTAGTAACGGCACTTCTTGAGCAATGGCTGAAACAGCTGATTTTTGATTTGTTGTTTTGTGATTTTGTTCTCGAGTTTTATTGTGATTTTAATGATTATGAGCTCTGTTTTTTATTCAAAAAAATATTAAATTTAATACATGTGAAGAATCATGCTTCAGCGGTGCCTGGTTTGTGGAAAAAAAAATGCGGATTTCTTAACCTTTTCTCTACAGGTAAGTGGAATCAGTGGCGCACCACCTGTACTTGTTATTCATTGTATTATCTGTTACAGAGTTCCAGCCGTTATCTAATTCCGGTTTCAGGTAGAAAAACTACGATAGAATTTCATTGAAATGGAATAAACCATTATGACAAATCTCAGGCGTCGTTCGTTCACAATAGACCGATCTCCTATTACCTGGACTGCGCGCGTCGCTTGTAGGCTGCAGGTGAGCGTCCAATGAGAAGCAGGTTTCCTACAGGCTTACGTCATATTCTTATTCAGGGGCCAGTTCAGAATGAATCATTCCTTCTTTCTTTGTAACGCGTGATTCGACAAAGAGCAAACTAATACTTTACATATTACTTGAACTCACCGCAGTGTCGTTTAAGGTTATGTTAAATTATACTTGACATATTCCTTTGCAATTTCATTGTGCGATGTTGCCGGATGTCAAAATAAAAGTGCAAACGATGTTAACATACACTTTTCAAGCGCTGGATTTGTATTGTCTACATTTGTTCTGCTACAATACAATCTGGCTACACTGCACCTACGAGTTGCGCGCGCATGTCATATTTTATTACTTTCTAACTTGTATTTATTACAATTAAGCTCTCTTTTTCTATTTATACGAGACAGGTCTATTAGAATGGAGCTTTATGAATAATAAAAATGTGTAGGTACCTATTGTCGTCGATTTTAATCTGATACTCGGACGGAATGTGAGCTGGTGGCTCCCTACATTAGAATGCCAATGGTTACCTGACGTCACATCTGTTTTTGCCATATGAAACACCCTCTCGCACCTCATACCGCAAGTATCAGTTAAAAATCGACAAACAATACCTGTATGTACCTATTTAATTTACCTAATTATGTTGATAGATAAGATAGAAAAAGAGCAGTTTGATTAATTATTATGTAAACAATGTATCAATGAAAAGAACAAAATTATTATTCTTCAATCCCATTTACTTGATTGAAATAAAATATTAAATACCTATTAATTTGCTTACGAATTATTGTAGTTGATTTCTATAATTTTAAGCAAATAAAGCTTAATGTACTTACCTACTTGATATAATTTTAACTAGGTAGGTGACAAAAAAATAGCATCAAAGTTGAATTCAACAAGAATTGTATACTTATGTTTGTATAATATAATATTTTGTTAATTTCAGATTTCAGATACGTGTGTGTGAATCAAAATTTATTGTTTGTATCATTTGAAAATAAATTGGCTTTATATCATTGTTGTTTTATTGAAATTAATGCTCATGCAAGAAGCCCAATCAGGTAGGTATAGAATTTTTCAAATTTTAAGAAATAACTCAAAAGTTAATGTTTTTACGTTAAAAAATGCAAATAGTATGTACTTATATGTAGTCAGAACATTAAAAAAAAAACATTTTTTACTCTCACTTATGTGAAAATACATTTTTTTTAAATCTTGATAGGCAGGCGAAAGTGAAGAAAATATTTTGTCAATTGTGTTTTTTTTTTTTAATTTTAAAATATATTTTGATCCGACCGATGCTCCGCTAATGATCGCTTTCGTCGGGCCGGTCACAGTCTAAGTGTTGAGCACATGTCCACAAACTTGTGGAATAAATAAACAAACCCATTCATAAAAACGTTGAGGAGCGTTGAGGGGCTTTGTTGATGTTGGCCGAAACATTTGGGTGTTTTATGAATGACTATGCGTATCTAGGTGTAGCCTGCAATAATCTAAGCAAATACTACTGCACAAAACCAATTAGAAGAAAAAATAAAAAGTATTAAACTTCCTTTGAAACTTGCCCATAAAGGAAGACCCAAGAAAAATCAATTAACTGCAGTTGGACTAAAAAGGTCTAAAAAAAAATAAAATTGTTCTATTCAAAAATAAAGTTCCTAAACTGAGGCACCAGATAATGCTTAATACAATTCTTAATAGAGAAGATTTGGTAAACAAAGCATTACATAAAAACTTTGAAATTGAGAAAGAAAACATTCCTCATCATCTACAAATTGATCCACTTCCTCTTGAAGAAGAAATATCTTTAGCAGAAATAGAAGCATATTTTTGTCCGGATTCTTATGTGTAATTACAAAAACAAATTGAAGAAAAACAAAATAGTATTCTAAACTGGATTTGTGATATATGTAGCAAAGTGATACATGAAGATAGCTTACAGTGTGAATCATGTCTTTGGTGGAAACATAAAGTGTGCTGTTCATTAACAAAGCTGCCTTCTACTATGAAAGCTTGGTTTTGCATGCAGTGCAGAAGGAACTAAATCTCACCTCAACCCTTAAAATAAAGAAATATTTATAGCACTGATTGTTGATCATGAATCTTAATGCAGATTTTATATATAATTGTTCTAGGTTCAAGAGTTTACTTTCCTGAAACAGCAGTTCTGTAGAAAATCTTTTATTTTTAAACATCATTACCTTAATTATATATTTTTGGGCTATACATAGCTCAGTCAACACTGTCTTTGGTGCATTGGCCCAGACAATTATTGCATAATTTATGATGGATTCAACCAATGAATAATAAACCGCTTTCAGCATTTTGAAAGGCAAGATGTTTCTAAGTTCAAGGAATTTGTATATTAGTTTTCTAATTTTTTTTGTGACGTAGTCAACATGATTTTTACAGCTTAAATTTTCATCAACAAAAATTCCCAAGTACTTTATACATTTTACTCTCTCTATGACATTACTGCAACTAGATGTTCCACAGTTTTCGGTGTTACAGTCTGAGTCATGTATTTTCAGATGTTGAGTCACAGGCAATGATTTTTGGGTTAGAGTAAAGGTCACAAACTTAGTTTTTTCTACATTCAATGATAATAAACTATGGTCCAGCCAGTTTTTTATTTTCTAGACAGCGATTTCCGCCCCTCTAATGGCAAGATCCCATGACTCACCCTGAACTATGATAGCTGTATCATCAGCAAAGGAAACTACCGTCCCCTCATCAACAATTGACAAAATGCTATTTATGTAAACATTGAATAATAGTGGACCCAGCACAGTACCCTGAGGCACACCACAAACCATCAGAAGAGGCTCACTTACAGTGTCTCCTATTTTAACACATTGTGTTCTGTTATTTAGATACGACTCAAGAAGTTGATACACTATGCCTCTAATGCCCATTTTGTGTAACCTCTTTTATATTTTATGAGACTGTAAGCGTCCTAAATACTCCTCAGTGGGTTCTAGTCCTGTACCCACTAATTTCTGCACTAATATAGTTTTTTTCTCAGTTTTTTTGAATTACAATCAATTCAATAACTAAATGAGAGTATTTACCTGTATTTGTAATTGAAATTCTCCGTATGGAACTGCCGAATAAAGTCTTTGAACTTCTTTTTAACGGCCAACAAATTAACGCTAGCTGCATCGCCCTGGTTTTCGTTCTGGGACCAGTTGTCGCTGAAAAACACTTGAGGCTGATCGAAGCCGTCCAGCATCTTCAAAATCTACTATAAACGGATATTTAATAATCAAGTAATTGAAACTGAAAACAGAAAATTAATTGAACTACAACAAAGGGCAAGCAAAAGTAGTTTAGTTCTATTTGGCGCCAAAATTTGTGACAGAAGCTTCTAAACACAAAAGTTAGGTTATGATGTACGTGTTCCGAAGGTCGCTCAGACAAAAAGAGGTGTGGTGCTCAAGAACCGTTCTGTTATAGATTAATCAATACGGAGTCGGAGCAGTTTTCCATTACGTGCTCTTAGAGTGAAAGGAGCAACAATATTGTAGTTATATATAGCTTCTACGAGTATTTTTTTAAAGAAACAACGAGAAGAAAATTAGGAGAAAAAAGAATAGTTGAAGAAATTTGTTTAAAACAAGTTTTCAAAGACATTTACCAAAAAATAAACCAAACCTCAACGCAACGGGCTCGAAAATATTATAATGGCAACTTTGAGAGCAACTCGATTCATTCTATAAATCTCCGTTCGGAGTGAGCCCCAATTGCTCCAATCAGTAGAGCTGAACGAAAGGCCCATCCTCAATCAATTTGGTAGCGAAGTGGCACTTCGGCACGCAAGCTAGAAAAATGTAGTTTAACGTTGGCATCCTCAATTCAATTCCGTGCTGGCATGCACGCCGACTTCGAAGTGCAAGCTTGCAAGCTGCAATCTTTTTCGATGCGTGCCGACTTATGTCATGCGCAGTACGGTAAAAAATAATTTAGGTTATCCTTGCGTTCGGTATTTTGCTCAAAGAGCAGAGCGGAGTCGTAATCACGTGACCAGCGAGCGCACAGAGCAGTTAAACGCTGTACCAGAGGCTCGAAATTTTATTAAACGAACGTGAATGAGCCTGCACCGAGTTCACTTTTTAAATAAATGAACGGTAAATTCATGCTCAGAGAACACAGATCAAAATACCGAACGCATGGTATGTGACCGTACTACACGCACAGCAGACTGAAAATTGACAGCATTGAGGATGGGTATCAATTTCCCAGCACGCGCTTAAACGTATGTAGTTACTCTATTTATACTAGAGTCCCTACTATCCTCGTGATGGGACTCCGTGCCATGTAGAATTCGACATATCGAAACATATCGCATGTCGCACGGTGTGCTGAGCCTCTAAAATCTGTCGATATGTAGAATTCTACTGGACACGGAGTCCCTGGCCTGACCTGATCGGTCAAAGTACTTACCTTGCGTTTGGTATTTTGCTCAAAGAGCAGAGCGTGATGAGCAGAGCCGTAATCACGTGACCAGCAAGCGAACAGAGCAGTTGAACGCTGTATCAGAGTGCCAGAATTCAGAAATGTTAATGAACGAACGCGAATGAGCCTGCACCGAGTACACGTTTCAAATAAACGAGTGGTAAATTCAAGCTCGGAGAAGTCAGATCAAAATACCGAACGCACGGTTATACGTGTAGAGCACATTGCGCTATTTATCTTCAACTAACGACACTGATGTGTGCAATGTTGCCAAAGCAAATTTATTTAATATAAATCAAGCGGGATTATTTGATTTTGAATATCGTCTTACCTAAAATTAACAAGAAAAAATAAAAAATTAAATATAATATGTTGTTAATTATTCTTTATTATTTTTAAGGATTGTGAGTTGCTGCTGAGTTCCTTTGGGTACTAAAGTGGTACTACTGGTACCTCGTGTGCACGCACAGACAAGTTAAGACTTGCATTTGTATGTGAATCGCGCGTGGAGTGAGTCATCGAAACCAGAAAGAGGTCTGAACAAATTTCCAATAGAATTGAGAACCAAAAAGCAAATGCTTTTTAAATTTGAAATCGTCCTTTTATTGTGACTTCGTGAAAATAGGGTGAAATAGGTATGTAATTATTATTAAACATTCTTAGTTAGGTATTACATTTTTATGTATTTTTTTTCCAACAGCTTTACCTACAAGGGTTATATAGAAATATACAAAAAAACGGTCTTTCCTTTGGTCATTTCGAACTATAGGGCATTAAATTTACCATGGAAAACGAGGACCACTCAAAAATTTAAAATTTCCTCCAGCAAATGGAACAAAAAAGACATGGATACCCCATTCCAGACTCGTCATCAGATTCAACTTCTACTCAACACGTTTGAACTTTTATTAGTGTGCTTGCAGATTTCAATTTATAAACAATGGCTAATCAAAAAAATCCAATTAAAGTGCGTTACAACGTTTTAGTGCAAGGAGAGCTGGAAGTGTGTAATTCACAGTCGTATTGTAATAGAAGGAAACGAAGGAAAATAATTATGATTTCTACTTCAGAAAGGTGAGTGGATTTATTTTCATTAGAATCACATTTTTGATTTCAAATTTCCATGAGATTTTTTTCTTCACCGTTTTTAATTTTGTTACCGCCATCTATAAGCAAAACACAAAATATAAGTATGGAAATCAATGACGTTTCAAGGAAATATAGTAGTACTATATTGCCGGTAATACAGTTTCTATTGACCGAAGAAGTGTTTTTCGTTCAGAGATGGTACTACAAATATTATTTGTTTTTAAAAAAGGAATATTTGAAAAAAAAAACGAATAATGAATAATCGTTTAATTTTGAATGATTGCCCATCCCTAAAATATTTATTATTCATTTATTTTCCGACCGAAATGTTCCCATTTTCTAATTATTTCGAACAAAAATCAATACCTCCCCCACATTTATTCCACTTGGGAAAACAAATCAGCTGATCGAAATCTGACAACACCGCAATACCTCTCGCCATTTGACACTTTTTGACAGACGGCGCCATTGCCATATGCGCCATTGTTCAGGCTGGTGGTAAGAGAAGCTGTTTGGTGTTTTTTCTCTTCAGATTAAATCGTTTTTATCGAATGTGGCAGGTTCGCGACCCGTGAAATAAAATTTCGACACGGTTTTTACATTTAAAAGTACCACGTTTTAATAGTTGTGTGCGTTTCATAAATAGAAATCAAATTAAAAGTGGTGCCTTGTTTTTGTTTTCGAGTGAAATGTTGATTTGAAATGAACCATGCATTTGTCTGGTAAACAAGGAATGACTTTGGGCAGCTACGGATTTATTTCACTGATTTGTTAATATATAATTTAATTTTTCATTGAGTGGATTTGAAATTGATTTCAAACTGTTTAAAACGGCAGAAAATATGGTTAAAAGGTTTGTAGTTTATCACTTTATTTCAGTAAAAATTGTCATCCTTTGTTTTTTTTTTTGTTGTACACAGTACATACTTTTATGTTTCCAAAATTTTTTGCTTATGGGAATTTATCATAAAACCTTTGTTGTATTAAAACAGAGTTGTTTCTGATAGGATTCAAATATAAAATTCAAAGGTAGATAATCTTTATTGATGAAATAAATTTAATAATGATAATTCATTAAATTTGCAAATGATAACTCATCAAATTTGCTCAATCAACTTCCTGTTGTTTTTTTTTTCCGTTTATTGTTCTGCTTTCAAATTCATGATAAATTTCAATGTCACGGCGATTATTTTGCTCATAATTCTCCAGTTAAATCATCGAGCGAGTCATCAAGTAAAAAAAAGCACTAGGAATACCGAACTTTCTTTTTTGTTTATTTCAGGTTCTTGACTTTTCTTTGTGTGTCTTTTCAAGTAGAAAAAAAATAAGGAAAAATTAAAAAAACCTTGAATTGAAATTTGGGTTATGTCTGGCATAAAACTTTCATCAAATATCTTAAGCATAGATCTTAAGTCAATTCAAATTCTTCGTAAATTGGAAAAATAGTCCATTTTCTTACAGTGGAGCTTTGTAAATTACATACAAAAAGAAAACTTCAGTCTTCTCCATTAATTTTTATGAGAATTTTTATTTGTTTTTTTGTTGAAAAACTATTAGGGCATGTTTCAGGATTATAAGCAGATATCAGCTCATTAAAGGCCAATTAAATGCCCTAATGAGAAATTTTAGGCTCATTGAATTTTCGCGAAAATGACTGTTCTGCTAGCTTTAACTTAAGCCAGCAGAACATGTGCGAAAAAGTTGCTAAAACGACGAAAATTGCAATTCTACTTGCACATTATCAGCTCTGAAAATACACCAATCCCAAATTTCAGGTTCAATTACTTTTTTTTGTGAAAACGCAAAAAGCGCAATGTGTGAGTGATGGCCAAGCATGGCAGAAAAATCCTCAGACGGTGAAAATACACCTATATCAAGTTAGCAATACCACATTCAATTCAATTCAATTTCAATTTATTTTCAACAGCAAATTAACAATAATTAATTACAAACCAGATTACAATATTACAAATTACCTACATGCCTACAATAGCAGGAGAGGAAAAAGGCCATAATTATTATCTATTACATCATTATCGTTTTTAATATAATATAATTTGTGTAGAAAAAGAAAAGGACACCTAGATACATATGTATCTGTATGTGTCTTATGGGTTTTAAAATTATAGGACACAAGTTATTATTAATTATATCAACAATGTTCCCAGAAAAAGGAAGAATTGCCCATACTTAGGTACTTATATTAAAAGCTTAAAGACCTAAACCAATTTACAGTACTAATACTAAATCCAATTATAATTATAATTATAGCACTGTCATTGTCAGTGAGAGCATGAGACACCACTATTACAAAAACTTCTTTGGATACAAATCTAATCGGTAAAAATTGTATTAAAATAATTATAAAAGTTTTCATAGATAAACAATTTGCAGGGTTTACTGAACCTCTTCTTGCCTAGGTTTTTTATAGTGGTAGGTAGTATATTATAAAATTTAGGACCAAGAAAGTTACAGCAGTTTTTAAAGAACTCGCTGTTAGGTTTGGGAACTTTGATGGTCTCATTTAAGATTGCTCTTGTTTGCTAGTGATGATCTATTGTAATTCCATTAATTTCATCATGGTTTCTTATATAACAGCAAACTGTATGTATATATAAACATCTAATGTTTACAATTTTAGGGTTATATAGCAATAAGGATGGGTACCGAGGTTTTTTCTTGAATGTTACTTTTAAGATTTTTTTTTGTATGATATTTAAAGGACTTAATGTAGTTTCATATAGCCCACCCCAAACCAATATACCATATCTTATTACAGATTCTACCAAACTGAGATATAATGTCA